CCAGACTAAAATAAATGTTTGAGCTGTCTTAACTGAGAGCAACTTGCACTGACATGTCTTAAAATATATCAGTGCCATTGTTTTGTCTCAAGATACACACCAGTAATGTTTTTTTTCTAAGGCACGTTTAAGATACTTAGATGTCCTAATTAAACTAAGGCCTAATCCTGGCTTAATCTAAGCCCTGTTTTATATTAGTTTATTTAAAATTATTAACATGCAATTATTTTAATTAAAATTTTTAATGTGTTATTTATTTTTAAAAAGTACTTATAATTACATATGGAATTAAATTAAAAAAAGTTTTATTAATAAGACTAATCAATAAGAAAAAAATATATAGTTTTGGAATCTGACTGCGACTCCCAGAATCGGAATCGAATCGTGAGGTGCCTAAAGATTCCCACCCCTACAATGATTTACTGCTTGTCTTTGTTGAATAATACAGAAGATAAAGAGCTTAAAAAAAAATTGCATATTAAATCGCAATCGTAATATTGGTAAAAAAAAAATCGCAATTAGATTATTTTCCAAAATCGTTCAGCCCCATTTTATATTATATATAAATATATTTAATATATAAACATAACATATTTTTTTAATATATACATGCATGTGTTTGTATTTATATATACATAATAAATATACACCGTACACACTCATATATTATGTAAACAAAAGCTTTTATTTTGGATGTGATTAATCGTGATTAATCGTTTGACAGCACTAGTTTCTACAGCAGCCAATCAGCATATTACAATGGTTTCTGAAGGATCATGTGACACTGAAGTAATATTTCACTAATGGCTGCTGAAAATTCAGTTTTGCCATCACAGGAATAAATGCATTCCTGCCATGGCATTTTAAAATATATTCAAATAGATTTAAATTGTAGTAAAATTTTACAATATTACTGTTTTTACTGTATTTTTGATCAAATAAATGCAGCCTTGGTGACTTCTTTCAGAACATTACACAAACATAAATATCTTTTTCAGCTACTACTAAAAAACTTCTGATTCACCTACTTTTGATTCATTCCAGTCACATCAATACCACTGACAGTACAAAACAATTTTACGGCTCAGGAAACGGCCTGAAACGATGAGTTTATCTCTCTGTAAAGGTGAAAGTTTAGCTGGTGAACATGCATTACTAGAACTTTCCAGCAGTGCAAAAGACAGAATTTACACACAATATCGCACACTTCCTGGGTGTAATCACCTATTGAGAAACAAACGCGTACAAACACTTATTATCATAGTGACGTGACTGACAGGAGCTATTAATCATTGTCAGCGACTGAGGCAAAATCCGCATTGAGGCTTTATGAAAAATGGTTTGCGATAGCAGAGCAGCATTTACCAAGGTCTCGCTCTCTCTTTATGTATGTGAAGCTAATACTTTCTTTCTGTAATAGGAGCTCAGTGTCCACCGTTCCTGCTTAATAACCGGCAAAAAGAAAAACTAGGTGCCGGGATCTCACAGCAAAATCAAGAGCAGCTCGTAATCTGCTTCGCAATCAGAATTTCCTCGCCACCTCATGAAAAAAGCAGACTGCCTCAGGCTTCAATATAAATGCAATAAAGTGAGGGTGGAAAGACAGAGTGTGTTTAGAGTATTGAAAGCGCCTGCGTTTTTTTTGTGGTTGGAGGGACTGGTTTCATGTTTCATTGACCTCTTTGTATAAAAAGCATGGATCCAATCCTTTATTGAAGGACAGCAGAGACCGAGGCAGCCAATAGCAGACATGAGTCAAGAGCAGGAGATCAGGGAGTGGCTAGCGAAACCTTCAAGACAATCTCGTGAGAAATTACCGCTCTCAGGCGCCTTCTCTACTACTTAGTTTGATTCTCAGATTGTTAAGTAGAGAAAGGAAAAGCAATTTATTCTATTAAATTACTCCCCAATCAGAATTTCCTCGCCACCTCATGAAAAAAAGCAGACTGCCTCAGGCTTCAATATAAATGCAATAAAGTGAGGGTGGAAAGACAGAGTGTGTTTAGAGTATTGAAAGTGCCTGCGTTTTTTTTGTGGTTGGAGGGACTGGTTTCATGTTTCATTGACCTTCTTTGTATAAAAAGCATGGATCCAATCCTTTATTGAAGGACAGCAGAGACCGAGGCAGCCAATAGCAGACATGAGTCAAGAGCAGGAGATCAGGGAGTGGCTAGGGGCAGCATCAAGACAATCTCGTGAGAAATTAGCAATAAAGTGAGGGTGGAAAGACAGAGTGTGTTTAGAGTATTGAAAGCGCCTGCGTTTTTTTTGTGGTTGGAGGGACTGGTTTCATGTTTCATTGACCTCTTTGTATAAAAAGCATGGATCCAATCCTTTATTGAAGGACAGCAGAGACCGAGGCAGCCAATAGCAGACATGAGTCAAGAGCAGGAGATCAGGGAGTGGCTAGCGAAACCTTCAAGACAATCTCGTGAGAAATTACCGCTCTCAGGCGCCTTCTCTACTACTTAGTTTGATTCTCAGATTGTTAAGTAGAGAAAGGAAAAGCAATTTATTCTATTAAATTACTCCCTTTTTTCCACTACACCTCAAGAGGAATGTGGAAATCTACATTTTCATAATCAACTTGGTTGTGAGATTTCTGAACAATTACTTGACAAGCCCTATATAATTAAACCATGATGAGGTCAGACACGTTTATTTGTACAGTATGTGCATAGGATGCATTGTTTCAAAAACAGAGCAAATGATGAGAAGTTAACAATAATAACTGATAAATAGTATCAAAATTCTGTATTATTCTGTCTATCTACACTACCGTTCAGTTTGGGGTCTGTGATAGGAATGAAAAGGAAAAAAATACTATTTATAAAAAAATATATATACATACATGCATACATAAATTTTTTTTGTATATATATATATGCATATATATATACATGCATATATATTATATGCATGTATATATATATGCATATATATATACATGCATATATATTATATGCATGTATATATATATGCATGGGGGGGGGGATTATATAAAAGATGAATATTAATTTAGATATTTGCAAAATTTTACATTTAACCAAAATATAAAAAAAGATTAGTATTAAAATTAGCATGCATAATATCTAAAATTGGACAACATATATCCAACATCAACCGATATGGATAAATGTCTACAAAACGTATAGTGGCCATAAACCATTATGGTACCTATATATTATGCCTCCTTTTTAACCTGACAAAACATCATAAAAACACAGTTCTAAAGGCACGAGATGAGACAACCATCTGGATGTATATGCAAATTTTTAAATAAACATACTATAATACTTTACTGCACAAAACAGTCACAGTCCTCACATTTCTCACAGCTGGCGGTTTTAGGTCCAAAAAACCTGTCTTGAAATTCATTCCTGAAGGTGATGAATGTGTTAAAGCGCTTATTGGATGGACGCAGCAGTGATGCTTTAAACTTCACTGTGAGAGTTTACGCCGCTGACAGTCTAACAGCACGCTAAAGTGCATCACGCTGTCAGCATGCCAAAACCCTTTCTGAAAAGTTGCATCTTGGTATTTATCCCTTTTAAAAGCACAAAACAGTAAAGCTAAGACAGAAATTAGAAGCAAAATGTAGATCCCCACTCCTTACTGCCAAACACAGTCCTACATCTCCTTATTCGCCACTTACTTTGACTTTCCCCCTCTCTCTGCCCTCCTCCGCCTCTTTTATTTCCTCTGATCCTCTTGAGTGCTGCTGCAGAAACACTACAAGACAAAAAGAAAGAACAAAGGGCATTATTACAATGAAATGGACGGAGAAGCACACACAAAAAAAGCCAATGAGCACATTCCCAATTCTGTGCCAGGCACTCAGACGAGGCTAAAGTCAATTATGCCTCGGCTTAGCCTATTCTGTAACCCGATTCAATGATTTAAATGCTAAATTTGCAATGAAACCAATGAGAGAATTAAAAAGGCATAATTTGGACCACAATAGACTTTAAACTGCTGAATACTGATAATAAACTGAAGTACTGAGTGTGCTGTCAATGAGTGAGCAATACAGGAGGAATGATGACGGCTTGTCTACGTTACTTCGAATACCTGTGAATGTGTGTATATGTGGGTTGAATCACATGCACGAGGAACTTTGATTGGACATGGCCTATTTTTTCTAACAGTGGCTGTTGTAAACAGAAAAGAACAACAGAGACAGGCTTTGCCAATGCGAGTCTAATAAAGCTCACAGTATAACCGATATGAGGTAGAATTGGGGATGTCAAAAGTCCTGGAACCAAGTCGATACTAAAAGAAGAATTATCGGACTCAATTTGGTACCAGACTCTTTGTGGTCAAGCCATCTGTGAGGAAAATATTGGTGTGCGGCTGTTACGAAAATTACAGTAATCTACAGCAAGAGCAGAACAGCCTGACTTAACCTAGAGAGAATGTGGTTTACAGATGAAAAACATGATGAGGGTAAACGCCAGACATGTTTCATTAGTGCTAACGTCACAGATGAAGAGTCCCTCGAGAGTCTTAAACACACTTACACACTCGCGCTCGGCTCCCTCCATGCATCAGCGGAGGAGCATTTATCCGTGTATGCGGACTCACACACCTGTCTCTCTTCTCTCAGAGCGATCATTGTGTTAATAAGATGAGGTCGCATACACCAACTCCTCTGAATCTGTGACAATGATCTGAATCAAATACTAGTAAACTAAGTACTGTATAATGTCTAATATTCTTTTTTTTATGAAACAGCAGACAACATGTGAGTGCCACGCAGTTACTATTATATCATCTTGGGGAAAAAATTACTATGCCATTGTGGAAATATACTTTTTTGTGAAATTTAATTATTATTTTTTGTTTTTGCAGTAATGGAAAAAAAAAAACTTACAAGAGAAAAGAGATAATAATAATAATAGCAATTATATATTTATACATAATACATTTTAAAATGCTCATAATCAGATTTCAGACACTTTTTATGGATTGCATATTATTCATTAAATGGCAGTAAATTATTCATAATTTATTGATTCTCCCTAATTCTGCTTTTTTCTCTTTAAAGAAAAATAATAATGTTTAGTTTCCAAAAATCCTATGTGTGTCATACCATTTAGCTTTGACTACATTCACAATATAGAATGGCCATGTAAATGTCATGTAAATAATTTTCCAATCCAGGCTTCTGAATTTGGGGAAAATGGCAATGGTAGGTTTAAAACAAGTTAGGTTAAAAAAAAAAAAAAAGGAATCTAAAAAGTAGTCAGAATAAATTACCTAAAATTAGCTACCTAGATTACGTTACTAACTACAATTTTCAGCATGTAATCAGTAATGGCCTACAATTTGTAAGTAATCTACCCATCACTATATATCTATATTCAATAATAAATCATTTTAACAGTTAAGTTCACCCAAACACCCTAAAATGAAAATTATGTCATCATTTACTCACCCTCAAGTTCCAAACCTGAGTTTCTTTCTTCCGTTGAACAGAAAATAAAGTATTTTAAAGAATTTTGGTAACCAAAGAGTTGACGGTATAGCCACTGACTTCCATAGTATGTAAAAAATGCTATGGAAGTCAATGGCTACCAGCCATTTTTGTGTGTGTGCGTGTGTTTCACTCATGTGAGTGAGTAAATGATGACAGAATTTTCATTTTTGTGTGAACTATCCCTTTAATATTTATATTCTTTAATTGTACTAGAACATCCACTCATTTCTATTCTCATTTCATTTTGCTGTTCTGAATATAATCTGTGTCTGCCAACATCATCCCATCAGAATGCGTGTGTGTCTATTCATTCTGATGTCTTTCACATATGCCGAGGTTGCCCTGGGCTGTTTGATGATTTCAGAGGCTCGGTGTCAGGGGTCAAAGGGATCTGGGTGTGGGCAGAGAGGTGGGCTTGAAACGTCATGCTCCATTTCACTGCTGCCCCAATGTATGTTCTCATTCAGTGTGTTCAGTGCGTGTATGTTGCCAGTCACCATAATTTTTGGTTCCTTTGTGGACTGAGCAATGAGAAGCAGATGTGTGTAGTCGTGTTTCTGAATTCTGATACCTTTCTGTCGCTTTCCTCAATCACACACCCACATACATGCACGTACAGGTTCATGGCCAAAAGGCAAGTCATTCTTTTTTTCTCCAGCCAATCTGCATGATCTGAACCATGCATGCAGACAAAACACACACAAAAACTTTTATCAACAAACTGCACAAAGTCAAAAAAGGGGCTTTCCATAAACTCAGCGTTGAGGCATTTAGGAGCCAGCGAGCCAGAAAAAAAGCCTCTGTGAGGAACAAAGGCTGTCCATAATCAGAGCTTTTAGGTGCAAGTTGTCCAAAACATTCAGAATTTTGTTCAAAACTCGGGTGGCGTGACGTGCCAGAACTCGAGCGTTCCTAAAAATATTTTCCAGAGGGAAGCGGAGAGCTGTTTCAGTAATCTGTCCCGCAGCTAGAGTCGGTCCGCTCCTGGCGCACAACACAACAGTGAAAAACCCACCAAAAAACTGGCAAAAACTTCAAAACCTGCAGTTACCACTCATTAAACACACACACACACACACACACACACACACACAATGCAACCGCGCGGCGCTGATCGACAGATGAAAGAAACATCAGGGTCGGAAGTTAAAAATGCAGATCCTTTGCTGGCATTCCCTCATCCAAGCATCAATCCAATCAGATCCAGAGGGAGGAGGAGGGTGAATTGTGCTGAATGAGGGTGAGCATGATGTGATGTTGGGAAAGATCTTCAGCCAGGATGGGCTCGGAGACTCGGCTGGGAAAGTTTACGGCTGGAAGTAATGAAGAAGCCATGCACACATACAAAGAGGCAAAACACACTGTCTGGAATCAACCACTGAACCACAAGATGACCTTTATGATCAAGAACACACACGCACACAGACGTAGTCTTGCAAACAATTGTAGGCCACCAAACGCTCTTTATAAACACACATATGCATAAAAACACACAACACAGATTTAAGGTCGACTCTGGAAGCACTGATGGAGCCACCACCATCTGTGATCTCACACACACACAGCCACAATGATTTGACAGAGATTTCACAGTGTGTGTAAGTGAGGACAAAAAGGGCAGGACAGCAGGAGGTAATGTTACAACTGACACCATCAACAATTAACGCAATATTGCCAAAGACGAAACTCAAGTGTGCTTGAGCTTCAGACCCTCACATTCAGGGCATTCCAGAGATTCTTCCAAACAGGACTTTGACCTATTGTGAGTGAACTCTGACCTTTCAGAGTATACCTCAGATCTTTCTGAGGTGGCTTTTATTTCTCTTACATATGATTTAAATACCGACTACACTACTGTTCAAAAGTCAAAAATATAGTAAAACAATTTAATGTTATTTTATATGCAATATGTTATTTTTTATATGTATCAGACAGACAGATAGATATTTATATAATAATTAAATGAATAAATATTAGAAAATTAATTATTTAACATTTATTTTGTGTATGTGTATTTACATTTACTAAATAATATATTTCAATATTTAAAATTCATTCAAATATGTTAAATATAATAAAGACTAAATAAAAAAATAAATTAATCAATTCATGCATACATTTTAGATCAACATGGAAAATAAAGTGGCTGGAGAAAAATAGGAGAGCGTGTCCATTAACTGAACGTGCATCACATTGAGCTATTCCAGTGCCGCTTGATTATAATAGAGGCAATCTAGTTTGGTTTTGAATTGAGTTGTTTCGAAAACTACAGCGTGAGAACATTATCAATAATAGCTCCTGGGTCAAGACCAGCAGGTGTAAGGGGAGGGTGTAGAGACCAATTTTACAGCCTAGAATCACATTTTCTTCTGTGGAAATTCACAGAATGGGTCAGACTGAACAAAGGCACTGGCATGTTCGGTGACAAATAGGTAAGCATCATGTAAGATCCAATTAGGCCTAATACCAAAACACAATCTCAGTCTCTCTCACATCTGACCGTGTAGGAATGCAGAGGTCCATGAACCAAAAACCAGCCTCACATACAATCACAGAGCTCCATGTTTCCTGTCTCAACTAGCCACTCCATCTCTGGGGCTTATGGCTCCCAGGCACTGAAACCCTAAGCCACACACACACACACACACACAGTGACAAATGCGATCTTAACTGCAGCAAGACTTCATGAAGCTACCGCATGGTTCAGAGACCATGTTTTTACAGGTGGGTGTGTGTGAGAACGTGATAACAGTGAGCAGCACACACATTCACAGACCCTGTTGACCTGTGAGGACACGACTGAGCATGTAACAGCCGACGGCTAGCGATGTATCATTTTGCACTTTTGGTCTTGTTTTCCAGTAAGTACAACATCCTATACACTCTTAAAACAAGATAAATTTGTATTAAACATTATTAAGGCTTTTTTTTTTTAAATAAATTAATACATTTATTCAGCAAAGATGCATTAAAATCAAAATCAAAGATCAAAAGTGACATTTAGAATGTTTAAAAAAAAGATTGGTCACACTTTATTTTAAAGGGTTAGTTCACCCAAAAATGAAAATTACCCCATGATTTACTTACCCTCAAGCCATCCTAGATGTATATGACTTTCTTCTTTCAGACGAATACAATTGGAGTTATATTAACAAAACATCCTTGCTCTTCTAAGCTTTATAATGGGAGTGGATGGTAGCCCAAAATTTGAAGTCCAAAAAATTGAACCAATCCATTATAAAAGAAGTCCACA